CGATGCGGGACTCGATCCCGGGACTCCAGGATCATGACCTGAGCCGAAGGCAGTCGCTTAACCAACTGAGCCACCCAGGCGCCCCGGGAGACCCTTGTTTTATGATTGTACCAAGTTTTAGCTGTAACATCCTCCAAGTGCAATCTTGTTGTTTACACTGTATTTGCCTGAAGTCTTTGCTCTTTATCATTGGTGCAGAAACCCAGCCCCTTAAGGGAAATAAAAGTGTCATATGCCTTAAAATTCCCAATTTTGCATTCAGTGGGATCTGCACAATAACCATGATATATATTTTAAAGAAAATATTTTAAAACATGAATGTAGGCGTTAAATTTCTCCTTTCTATGATGCCATCTATTTTATCACCTTTTGAACTACAAGATATTTAATATAGAAGACTTCAAATTAAAAAATAATCTTTAAAACATATTTTTTTAACCTGAGAAGAGGTGGGGGTTGAGCACCCTCCCTTTTTGGGCTGCACAAAAACTGAGACTTCGCTGAAATTCAGCACCGCTCCCCTCTAACTTCAAGTTCAGTCCTTGGAAAGTTAAACTGGTTACATTTGTCCTATGGTTTCTAACTGGTTCTTATCAGCTCCAGAGATATATTTCTTTTCGAGCCTAAGCTTCTCCTGTAAAGATAAACCAAGAGTTTTCAACAACTCGAATTCGTGAAATTTCAGGTCCCCCCCTTCTTTTTTTCTTTCTTTCTAAATTCACACATTTATTACAAAACAAAAGATTAAAACAAAGTTTTTATATGTCGACAAATGGAAACCTTGTTTTCAATTAAGTATCTGTAACTGTTTCTATGTAATTTATTCTATTCCAAATACGCAAGTATTTTTAAGACTGTAAGGTCTCTAAGCATTTTTTTCAACTCAAGAACTGATGATATATTTTCATGAACCTTAAATTCCAGTGTTTTTGCTTCTCCGGAGGTCAGTTTCCTAATTTTATCAGTAAGGAAAGATTCCCATGGATTGGCACTCAGCATCCATTCACCCCCTTTCCTGTGCAGAGGCTGGGAGCTGAGAACATGTTCCAGAGAGCTTTGAGTGTGAGAGGGAATTTGGCAAGTTATAATCAGGTGCATGCCGGGAAGCTTTGGAAGGTAGAGGGTGGTGAAAGCTGTTTCTGCTATTTTTGCTGTTCTGATAGTAAGCATAGTTCTGCAGGTGTCAGATTTTTCTGTGCCAGATACCAGGTGTCTGGTCAAGAGGGGGCTGAGGGGCTAGGGGGCAGGGGGTGGTGTCCATGTTCTGTCGGCATAGACCCGGCAGGCATGGTTGGAGCTGGGGCTAACCGTGAGGGTTGGGGTGTCTTTGCAGCCAACAGCTCTCAGGTGTCTTTTCTGGTGCCGCACGCAGCTTCTTGACTGCACAAGCGACAGCTCTTTTGTTCTAGTAGTTACGCTGGAGGTGACCTTCGGTCATTTGGAAGCTCTGAATTCCCTATACTAAATCCTGTCCCATGTGGCCATCCAGAAGGGCACACAGGCACAGAATAGGAAAGGCAGAGATGAACCACAGGACCTCTGGGGTCCTGAGGAGGGAGTAGGCAGTGGGGGATGAAAGGGCATTTGCTGGGCCACGACAAGTAGAAGATAATGTTCCCAGCGGGGGCTCCTGAAGAACCAAAGGAAGAGCTTCAAACACCTGCCAGCTCCAGAGGGCAGAGACAACCGCTTGGTCAGGTACCAGTGAAGGACTGTTTCTGCTCTCTTCTATTTTGGCCTAGGAAGGGTCAGGAACTAGTCTGCAAGCCTGGGGAGCTCAGAAACATCAGGTGGGGGAAACAGAAGAGAAACTTATTGCTTCCTCACGCCCCTTTATGTGCACGCAAACACACAAACTCACTCACACAGAGCCTCTCTATCAGGTGCTGTCTGAGGGAGGAGAGAAGATTAACTTTAAATCAAGTTCAAGGTGGGGCGCCTGGTGGCTCAGTTGGTTAAGCATCTCACTCTTGATTTTGGTTCAGGTTCTGATCTCAGGGTGGGGGGGCTCCTAAGATCGAGCTCTGTGCTCAGCGGGGAGCCTGCTTGAGGTTCTCTCTCTCCCTCTGCCCCTCTCTCTCTCTCTCTAAATAAATGGATAAAATCTTAAAAAAAAAATCAAGTTCAAGGCTCTGAGTATTACATGGAGTTGAGCATTAAAATTATTTTAAATCAAGGGGCACCTGGCTGACTCAGTCTGTGAAGCACGCAATTCTTGATCTCAGGGTCATGAGTTCAAGCCCCATGCAGGGCATGAACCCTACTTAATAAATAAATAAAATTATATAAATCAAGACCGTGTTTGCAACTTTGGAACTTTTTATTACCACTGTGTGATTAAAAAAAGTATAAGGCTGCCTAAGTTTTCACCCAGCAGCAAGGGAAGCACTTTCCACACTGAATAACTTCTTTTTTCTTTTTTTAAAAGATTTTATTTATTTGAGAGAGAGAGAGAAAAAGAGCATGAGCAGGGGATAGGCAGAGGGAGAGGGAGAAGGAGATTCCCCACTGAGCAGGGAGGCCAACATGGGGCTCGATCTCAGGACCCCGAGACTGTGACCTGAGCCAAAATCAAGAGTCGGCTGTTTAACTGACTGAGCCACCCAGGAGCCCCCAAACCATAAGAGACTCTTAAGGATAGAGAACAAACTGAGGGTTGATGGAGGGAGGTGGGTGGGGGATGGGCTAGATGAGTGATGATGATTAAGGAGGGCACTTGATGTGAGGAGCACTGGGTGTTGTATATAAGTGATGAACCACTGAATTCTCCTCCTGAAACCAATATTGCGCTGTATGTTAACTAACTAGAATTTATTTAATTTTTTTAAGATTTTATTTATTTATTTGACAGAGAGAGACACAGCGAGAGAGGGAACACAGCAGGGGGAGTGGGAGAGGGAGAAGCAGGCTTCCGGCTGAGCAGAATCCTGGGATCATGACCTGAGCAGAAGGCAGATGCTTAACGACTGAGCCACCCAGGTGCCCCTAACTAGAATTTAAATAAAAATTTGAAGAAAAAAAATGTGGTGATATTTGAATAGTATTTTATATGGACAAAAACCACATTTTTGGTCCCTTGCACATTGTTTCTATTTGATATGCAGTCTGTGGGGGGAGGGGACTTTCTGAAGTCAGGTTTGTTTTTTTTTTAAGTAATCTCTAAAGACCCGATGTGGGGCTAGAACCCACCACCCCAAGATCAAGAGCTGCGTGCTTCACCGACTGAGCCAGCCAGGCACCTCTGAAGCCAGTTTTATACACAGAAAAAGGACCGTTAAGACCTCTTTCATATATATATATATATATATATATATAAATTAATACTTACTTTAGTTACAAATCCACAAATCTAGCTTCCCTTAACCTTTGTTTTATTTTATTTACAAACCTAATTACTTTTATTTACAAATCTAATAAAATTTAACTATTACTGTAAGGGGGAATTTCACCATTCACTTAATTTCATTATCTTAAACATTTTAGATGACTTTTACAAACTTAATATATTTAATTTTCTTTTCAGGTATTTCAACTATGTACAAGGCTATGTAATTCTTACAAATGTAGTAAATTAAGTTTATTTTTATATTCCTTTCAATTTAAACTTATAACTCTAAATCAGTTACTTAATCATACATTTTAAGTTGGAATCCTAAAACTAATATTTGTATATTCAAATAAGCTAAATTGTAAATATTTTATGTACTCATAGCAACATAGCCAAAGCATTCTTAAATGTATCATGCACTTTAATAGTATTAAAATATTAATGAAATTAATACCCTATATTATTTTATCTTAACTCTTAGTTTCCAAGAATTAAAAGATATTTACTGGCACAGAGAGAGCCTCGGTGGCTTAGTCGGTTAAGCCTGGGATTCATGATCTCAGCTCAGGTCTTGATCTCAGGGTGGAGAGTTCAAGGCCCCTCTTGGGCTCCACGCTGTGCGTAGAACCTAACTAAAAAAAGAGAGAGATTTACCCGCATAAGACAATAAGGCATTCCCTAGAAGGTTAAGATTCACCATGAACCAAGAGATGCATGATATTCCAGTGATATTGCTGAAAACCTGACTGTAATGATCACATCACATGCGCTACGCTTGGGCCAGAACTTAGCTTGCCCAGCCCCGTTGGTTTGCTCCACTTTCTCACTGTGAGTCAGACTGAGATTAACACCGCGGACTCAGTAAACTTTGTGTTTTTCTTTAAGATTTTATTTACTTGTTTTCTAGAGAAAGAGAGCACGTGCAAGCAGGGGGAGGAGCAGAGGCAGAGGGACAAGCCAACTCCGGGCTGAGCGCCGACTTGGGGCCGGATCTCAAGACCCTGAGATAGTGACCTCAGCCAAAACCAAGAGTCCTTCCCTCAACCGACTGAGCCACCCAAGCGCCCCAGAGCTTTGTGTCTCTGACTATATCCTTAGGATAGCTGTCTAGAAACGTATGGCCCTTTTTCAGGACTCTTGATGACTATTTTCTGATTGCCTTCCCAAAAGTGTGTCACTGGCGTGCATCCCGTGAATATTGCGTTATCACCACCGTCCCACCACATCCTCCGCGGCACCGAGTATAATCTTTACTGTTATTATTATCATCATCATCATCGCCTCTGCCAGTTTGAGCGTGGCAAATGACGCCTCGTTATTTGGGGTTCATTTATTCCGTTGCAAGTGCGGCTGAACGTGTTTCGTACGTTCCCTGGGCACCCAGCTTTCGGGGTGTCCCCCGCTTTGGCCGCCAGGTAGGATGCGGGCAGGTGGGGCTGAGCGCGCAATTCCGGGCCCCGCGGCCAGGGGGCGCTGCCACCCAAGTTCCCCACCCCCACCCCTCTACCCACGCCCCGTCCGGGCTGGGGCGGGCAGGGGGGCGGGCAGGCGGGGGCGCAGGCGCAGGAGCGGGCGGGGCGCTAAGGTTGGCGTCTTCTCGCCCCGACCTTCGCCAGCGGGGCCGTAGCATCATGACGGTGGGAGCCAGGCTCCGAAGCAAGGCGGCGAGTGGTTTCCTGCGCCGCGGGCCCCGGGCGCGAGCGCGAGCGCGGGCGGAGGGGGATGAGGAGGCGGCCGCCCTCCTGGAGCAGCCGGAGCGCGGGGACGAGGCGGCGAGCTCAGACCATGCCTCAGACCTTGACAGCGTCGAGTGGCGTGCCATCCAGGAGGGCGCCAACTCCATTGTCA